TATGATGCTGCTTGGCCTGCTGTGTTCATCCAGCTCTTCACTTGAATCATGTTGGGAGCAGTGTCCTGGAGAACTGAATAACTAGGTCTGTACAGAGGGCTTTAAACTAATTAGAGGAAGTGAGGTTTTGGGAGAGGGGACATCTGGCTTACAAAGCCGGAGGATAATGGCAGTATTACAGAGCAGCCATTTAGATAATGATGTGACAATGCTGTCACTTTAAAAGGCTATTTTGTCCTTTTATTTTGAAGACAGGTTGTAAGGCAGAGGTATCGAACTGGCTACTGAAGGTGACTTAAGTAAACAACTTGTGAGGCCTTGGGTTTTTTTTTAAATGTTGGAACAATGGAAGCAGCCTGAATGGGTGTGGCCAGATCGTGCAGATCCAGATTTCTGGGTTTTGGTTTTTTTCAGTAACATCAGAAGCCTTTGGGGTCTCAAAAGAGTTGGAGCTTCAGTGAATGATCCCTGGCTGCTGGTCTCTCTGAACCTTCTCTTGATGTTTCTTCCTCCTGGATTGGAGAGCGGCATGTAAGAATCTGTCTGAATTTGTCATTTTTTCCAAGGGGTGTGTTTATGGGATGTTACCATACTGGAACCGTGAATTAGTAATAGATGCTGTATCTATTATTCGGCTAAGTTTTCCAATAGTTAAGTTATTCTAAATTCTTCTTTCTTTTGTTTGTATTTTAACTATAGTGTTTAAATAAATTGTGTTTTGCTTAACGTCGAGTAGCTTGGCCAGTCGCATCACATCTGGACCATTACACTTCACATCTACCTTTAAAACAAGAAAAAGTTAGAGTCTAGGCTATTTTCTTAAAATATTTTCAGGAGTATCCGGGCTGGTCCATAACAATGATACCCAGAGTTGGACAGGGAGGAAGACAAACATAGAAAAGCAGCAGTCATTAGGGTCAGTGAGGAAATAAATAGTTAAAAAGACCAAATTAATGGCTGTTTACTGAATGCGTGTAGTATTCAGAACAAAATAAATAAATTAACGGCTCAACTACAGGATAACGGGTATGATCGTATAACTATTACAGAACATAGTTACGAGGAAATCAAAGTTAGGAAGTAAATATTCAGGAGTATGTGACTTTTTGAAAGGACAGGCTGGCAGGAAGGATAGGAAGGTGGGACTGCTTCGTTGGTACAGGATGGAATAAGTACAATGGCAAGAAATGATCTCGGATTAGAAGGTGTAGACTCCATATGGGTGGAGGTAAGAAATAAAGAGCGAAAGAGACACTGGTGGCAGTGTTCTATAGGCCCCTCTAACAGTGTCTATACAGTAGGGCAGAGAATAAATCAGGGGATAATGAGGGCATGTTAAAAAGGCTGCACATTAATCCGGGGTGGGGGGAAGGAGGGGGGGGTCTTTAATCTTCATGGATATTGAGATAGTCAGATTGGTGGAGGTAGGCACAATAAAGAATTCATACAACATATTCAAGACAGTTTCTTAGAATGATATGTTGTGGATCCAACCAGGGATCAGGCTGTGACCATAACAATAGCCATTGCAACTTTTAAGGGAAAACTGGAGAAATCATTGGAGCAGATGACTGAAGTAGAAAGTCTTCAGGAGAATAATACTGAGGTAGGAACCCCCAAGATGTCTAAGAAGTATATAGACAATCACTCGAAGCACCTTAGCACACAAGGCTTGGGCCAAGAGCTGGAAAGTGGATCCAAAGTAGATAGGTGATTGATTGTGGGCACAGGCACAATGGGCCGAAGGGCTTCCTTCTATGCTGTAAAAGCTCTAGGACACTATATCAACACGGAGTTAAGATACTGAACTGAACGGTGGGGTAGTACTGAAAGGCTTCTTTCTGTTCCTATGTTGAAATGTTCAACCAGCGAGCAGCGTTCATGGAACAAATCCGGATTTTATTTTAAAAAGGAATAACATTCACAAGGTGAAAATGGGAACATATTCCACAATATGTGTGGAAAGAAACCGGTCAATGACACCAGCATCGCAACTCATTTATAAATAGTCCAGTATGTCTGCAGTTTATCCCTTGGTAAAATAATTCCAAAGACCCTTTTATGGTCTGTCACATCAACAGCTGAGAATAAAACACAACAACTTGAGCCCAGCTGGAGATTATCTGGAAAATAGAGAAGTGTTGTAAATAGCTAAAGATATGACCTCTTGAATACTGTGCTGTACAAGTATGAAACACAATTAGAATCCCTGGATTCCCATAGGGATTGAGGCAACTGCTTAGACAAGACTGGAAGATGATCTACAATTTCACTTTGGCTGTCACTGAGGTGACACAGTCTCATTTGCTCCCTGGCACACATCCACTTGGTGACAATAGGAATGGAGGCAATGGGTGCCAGGCTTGGCTGGGTAAGAGGTTGGGGGTGCGAGAATGGGTAGTGGGAGGGGGGGTGGTGGGGAAGATTAGAAAGAGAGGTCCCATTGCTTAATGAGTTAGGAGTGGGGCAGAATCTGGTCCAGGCTGTTCAGATTCCAATCCAAATTCCATTAGAAGGGAGAGAAGAAATGAGACATCCATTCACACACGTCTTACACAATGGGCCCACTGAGCTAAGAGAGGCCTGATGGTCCTCTGGGACTATGGCAACTTTCTTGGAGAGATACAAAAGATCCGTGGGGGGAGCAATCTTTTTCCTCACAGAGGGTGGTGACTGTCTGGACTGGGCTGCCAGGGGTAGTGGTGGAGGCAAGTACAATTTTGTCAATTAAGAAGGTACATGGACGGGATATGGGACTAGTTTAAATTGTGAAAACTGAGTGCCATGGACAAGTCAGGCCGAAGGGCCTGTTTCCATGCTGTAGACCTCTACGACATCCCGGGAGATTCCCTGGGAATGCTGCTGCAGGTCGTGTGGTCAGCGAACCGGCAAGGTCAAGTCCTGTTGAAAGTCCAATAGAGGCTCTGAGATAAAAGCCATCATTCCCAAGACACAGAGGGACTATCCTCAGGGAGAGCAGAACAATGAACATCATTGCTGGATCACATCAGTTACCATGCCAACAACAGTTGGCAGAATGAGGGGTGGGGAGGTGGTGAAGTGGGCAGGATGCTCTGATAGATCCTTTCCACGTGCTGCAGTCTGAAGATCTGCCACTATCACACCATGACATCTAGCTTCAGGAATGTAACGTTGAGATGCGGGTCACATCGTAGGGTAGATTTCAATGAGGTTTTATTACAACACCTGGTAACTATATATATACCCGACAATCCCAGGCACTAAGCAATCTGAAAGTCGTGAAGCACAATCCCCTTGGAAATGCTGGAAGGTAGCTGGATGGTAACCGTTCTATTTAAAAAGAGAGGCGGAGGGAAAGCCAGCAATTATAGACCAGTCAGCCAGAGGATGCTAGAGTTTATTGTAAAAGACTCAATGGCTGACCACTTGGAAAACAGTGAAGGGTCAGACACAGTCAGCATGGGTTTACATAAGTCAAAACATGCCTGGCCAATCACATCGGCTTTACGTGTGACGTCAAGCACAGATACATAACTGAGCATGTGTGAGGTTTCGAGTTGGCGGTTTCAGTGAGGGTGGGAGCGATGGGGGCAGCTGCCAGCCTGAGAAGAGAAGACGGTCTAGAAGCCAGGGATTTGAAGTGGTTGGGGGTCAAGGAAAGCACAGTACCCGGGAGGGAGTGGCACAGGGAGGGTCCAGGAGCTCCCCTCCCCCTCTATCTCCCTGTCTGTCTCCCCTCTGCGATCCCCTCCACAGGTCCCCCACCTCCCATCACACTTGCCCTCCCAATCCAACACCCTTTATTCCACCCCCCGCCCAACAACTGGCTCTCTTATCCCCCGCCTCCCGCTCTCTCCTGCTGACCCCCACCCCCCACAATTGACAATGGTCACTTGTCGCCATGAGGCTAGTTTTTCATTCTAGGTTTTGTATTGAATTTCTCCTCATTTTAAGCCTAAATGGGTGATCCCTTACAGTGAGACTGTGACCCTGAATTTTAGGCTCCCTAGGCAGCAGAAATAATTTCTTATTGAGCAATTTATAAATTTTACATGTTTCAATTAGATCGCCTCTCATTCTTCTACACCTCAAAGGATTTAGACCAAGTCTACTCAATCTGCTCCTTAAGACCACAGACCATAAGAAATAGGAACAGGAGTGGGCCATTCAGCCCTTTGAGCCCACTCTGCCATTCAACAGGATCATGGCTGATCTAACATTCCCCACCTCCACTTTCCTGCCCTTTCCCTGTAACCCTTGAATCTCCGACTGATCAAGAATCTATCTATCCCAACCTTAAATATACACAAGGGCTCTGCCCCCACTGCTCCCAAAGCTCTCTCTGTGGCAAGAAGTTCCAAAGACTCACAACCCTCTGAGAGAAGAAATTTCTCCTCATTTCAGTCTTAAATTGGGACTATGCCCTCTGGTCCTAGACTCTCCCATGAAGGGAAATATGCTCTCAGCATTCACCCTGTCAAGCCCCTTTAGAAGCTGATTATGTTTCAAAGCAACCTGTAGGATCCCTCATCCCTGAAATCAGGCATGTGAAACCTTTATTGCCCTGTGTTCAAGGCAAATAGATCCTTCCTTTAATAAGGAAACCAAAAGTAGACAAACTACATTCGGTTCTGATATAACGTGGTAGTTCCATTCTCGTGCGCTCTCACGTTATAAGGAAATCACACAATAGCTGCGCCTTTTAGACCAATGGGACTGGAATCTCATTACAGCCAATACAGGGAAAGGAAAGTTCACAAAATAAAAACCGAAAGAACTGCGGATGCTGTAAATCAGGAACAAAAACAAAGTCGCTGGAAAAGCCCAGCAGGTCTGGAAGCATCTGTGAAGGATAAAACAAAGTTAATGTTTCGGATCCGGTGACCCTTCCTCAGAACTGAAAGGAAAGTTCATGTTCTGCAAATAGCGGTCTAAATTCTTCAAATCGCATTAAAGCCAATTTGCATCGAAGAACCACGTTATAGCAGAACCAGCTGTACCCCCGGAGTGTCAGTAAATGTTATTATTATTTGACTTCTCTAATCCCTGTAATCCCTTTACACTGGAGGCAGCGTTCTATTTGTTATCTTATTTGTTTGATACAATATGCTAATTTTCTGTGATTTGACAGCAGATCCCTCCAGACCATGGCAATGTGGTTGACTCTTAAGTGCCCTTTGAAATGGCTGAGCAACACACCCTGTTCAAGGGCAGTTAGGGATGGGAACCAGTTCTGAGGAAGGGTCACCGGACTCAAAACGTTAACTCTTGTTTTTTCCTTCACAGATGCTGCCAGACCTGCTGGGCTTTTCCAGCAACTTTGTTTTTGTTCCTGATTTACAGCATCCACAGTTCTTTCGGTTTTTATTAATGATCTCTTACAACTGTGTTAAGATTGGGAGCTCAGCCTCCCAATGGAAGGAAGCATAACATTAGGTCCCTGAAACTGAAACGTTCACTCCCACACCCAGTTTAATCAGGAGCCAATTAACCAATTAGTGCCAGCATCCTTTCTACTAAAGACAGGCTTGCATTTATAAAGTGCTGTGTTCCACATCCCAAGATACACTACTGCCCATGAAGTATTTTTTGAATGTGAAGAAATTGTTGCAAAATCTGAAACATGACCATCATTAGAGAAGAAGATGTTTGGTATGCTTGCCCTTATTGGTCAGTGCATTGAGGAAAAGTGTTAGGAAGTCATGTTGCAGCTGTACAGGACATTGGTTCAGCCACTTTCGGAATACTGTTTGCAATTCTGGTCTCCCTGATATAGGAAAGATAGTGCAAAACTTGAAATGGTTCAGGAAAGATTAAAAAGGACGTTGCCAGGGTTGGAAGGTTTGAGCTATAGGGAAAGGCTGAATAGGCTGGGGCTATTTTCCCTGGAGCGTCAGAGGGGTGAGATTATAGAAGTTTATAAAATCATGAGGGGCATAGATAGGGTAAATAGCCAAGGTCTTTTCCCTGGGGTAGGGGAGTCCAAAACTAGAGGTCATAGGTTTAAGGTGAGAGGGAACAGATTTATAAGGGACCTGAGGGGCAACATTTTCACACAGAGGGTGGTGCATGTATGGAACGAGTTGCCAGAGGAAGTGGTGGAGGTTGGTACAATTACAACATTTAAAAGGCATCTGGATGGGTACATGAATAGGAAGGGTTGAGAGGGATATAAGGATTTAGAGGGATATGAGCCAAATGCTGGCAAATGGGACTAGATTAATTTGGGATATCTGGGTCGGCACAGACGAGTTGGACTGAAGGATCTGTTTCCATACTGTACAGCTCTATGACTCTATCTCATAAACTGCAAAGTGACGATGACCAAGTAATTGTTTTGGCCTAGTTCATTGATGGATGAAGATCGGGAGGACACTGGAGACAACACTCCTGACTTCCTTCAAAATAATGGAACCATTTAAAGCCACCTGTGAGGGGAGAGGGAGACTGTAGGCAAAATACCGTGGATGCTGGAAAACTGAAACAAATAGCTGGAGAAACTCAGCAGGTCTATAGTACCTGCGGAGAGAGAAACAGAGTTAACACTTTGGGTCTTGTACAACTCTTCTTTGGAATTTGAAAGGGGTTCGAAAATAGGTTATTTTATACTTTTGAGAGAGGCGGAGGAGTAGCAGAGGGAACGGATGGTGTAAAAGCCCAGTGCACAAGACAAAGAGGGTGTTAATGGTGCAGAAATGAACAAGTGACATGAAAAGGGTGTACATGAAAGTGTGCAAGGGAGAGAATCCATCCTCTCTGCTTACTGCAAACTAAACAAGACAGGTTTATAGGGTGGGTGGAGGAGGGCATTGAAAATGTAAGAAGGAGAAGTACTGGGGAGAGACAGGGCCTTAGTTTAACAGCTCAGTGTTAATGAAGGACAGTACCTCCACTTTTCCAGCATTCCTCTGGTATACTTTGGGAATACCAGCCTAGACTTTGAAGCCAAGACTCTGCAAAGGGACTTGTCCCCACATGACCCACTGACCAATCAGGAACACCCACCATCCAGTGAGAGAGACACCAAATCAGAGACCATTAGCTCCATTAACTGAAACCAGGGAGCAAGAGCTTGACGAGAGGTTAACAAAAAAAAAGCAAGAAAACACTTCAGAAGAATAGGTGTTTCTTACCCTGGTGTATCTGTCAAAGGATTCCTTCAGCTGCAGATGTTTCCCGGCTTTGCTTGCAAGATCCAGCCATTTCCCCTTGAACCACTTGCAGTTTGGTTTCCGCAAAAGGTCCTTGGCTTCAATTTTTGCCACGAAAGTGATATCCTCACCTTTAAAGACGGCATTAGCAACCTGATTAAAAAGGCAAGTTTGGAAAACCAGCTTTCTCCATGGCAGTTCAAGTTGGTAATTCATTGGCAATGATGAGCTCTTCAATGTCTGAACACATTGACACCATGAACAGCTGAGCAGCGATGACAAAGAAGATCCCATTCTAAGCTCAGTTTTATGAGCTCAATGGATGGTTGTGTTTATGGGGGATTTCAGTGCCACTGTGTTATGGAAGGAACAATTGGCCAGGAATATTTCCCCTGGTTTATGCTCAATGAATGGATAATGGTAAAGGAAAAGGCAGGTTTCACTTTGACACCCTCCAATGTATTTATATTGAATCTCGCTATTTAGAATCATGCGAGTAGTGGACGAAGAATCAGAGAGGGCAATGAATTTGATAATTCACTAGGTCAAGGGCAAACAAGGAACGTGAAGACCCAATCATAATATTAGAGCCAGATCACCTACGTTTGAACTTAAGGGTGCATTATTTTCAAACAAAGGGATGTGGAAATCCAGAATTCTCTCCCTCTTTATACTCTGGATGCTGGGGATCACCTGGAATTTTCAAGAGAGAGAGATTGATAGATTTTTGGCAGATAGCAATGTCAAGGGGTGTTGGATCAAATTCGGGGGATACGATACAAACAGAAATTCCAGGACAATTAATATTGTAGCTGATCAGGGTACAAGTCAAATATTTAACATTCTGCTCATTCAGTAGAAAAATATGGAAATTTGATGACAAAAAATTGATGTTCCCTGGGATTGTGTTACTAGGGCTTTGGCCTTTGAATGGGTTACAATCCAGATACCCAGAACAATACTTAAAAGACCAATAAAGTAACTGCAGCAAATGACTGAAAAACCCAATCTCTGGAAAGAGCAAAGCAACTTCTGTTTTTGGACAGTGTCTCCCCATCAACTCCAACAGGGTACATGATTCCTCTTCCCCAGAGTTATTTAGTACTGATCGAGCACCCGAGTTTGGAAACTCACCAACAGTGACGGTCCCATTCTGAGGTTTCTCGACGAACAGGGTTGACCGTGTCGAATCATCAAGTTTAGCAAGTTCCTCCGTAGCTGCTTCTCCGCAGGACCATACTGTCCGTCGAGAAAAACAAAACCAAAAGGCACAGATCAGAATTTTGTTCACAGGCCCAGTCAGAGATAGTCCTGTCTGTTTTGTTCACGCTGAACTCCTCAAACCATGGTGTTAAACACAGGTTAGCTTTAGGATAGGACACAATTTCAATTTGTTGCATTCAGGGTAATGTTAGTTATGGATTGTGACACTTATGGGATTGTGGTTGAAAGAAATGCGTTTGAGAAAGGACCATATCATGTTATATTACAGTGCTCTGAATGAGATGTTTGATGTACACACAATACCAGTCATACAGCAATTGTCAACACAGATATCAATGCATTCTATTATCCCAAAAACAAGGCAAGGGATTCTTTGTCGAGGATGAACAATAGATTTGTTTGTCATTTCATGGCACGTTGCCAAATGTTTCAGGGAGAGAGATGGCAGCTGGGTTAGCAGGACGCTGGGTGAGGAACTCGAGTAGGGCCAGGAGCTAGAAATTTGGGGTGCTGAGCTCCAATGCAGCAGTGGACCATCCCCTCCTGTGCCCTCATCGATCTTCTCCATGGTCACCACTTTCTCAACCTTGCCCCTCTCCTGTGGTGTGGTGGCCCCTCAGGTTAAACTCACCATTGTCTCTCACCATTGTCTCATGACAGAATGGCTCTATGGCACCTTTACCCTAACCTAGATCTTCTCCAACCCATTTGCACAGGTTTCCAGTTCTTACTAAGGTCTCATTGACAGACTCTGTCAGCACCAGCACATCTCAGAACTGTCTTCCATCTGCTCTTCCTCCATGAACAGCAATACCACTGCTATGAGACAGCAGATGGTGGAAATCAAATAGCTGAGAAATCTTGAACGCATTGATATGCTCATTGACAATGTGGTGAAGGTGCCATGTCAAGTGGTTCAGAAGCAGACATACCCGAGTCTTTCCTGGCCAATGCAGAATCGGAAGGCTTTTCATCTGTTTTGAAAACAAGGAATGGTCAAAGTGAGGATATGAGAAACACAGAAAATTCCAGCATTCACACGGGTTAGAAGGAGGGCTGCCAACCCTGGGGTTGGACGTGATCCTGGAGCTTCTATCACGTGAACCGCCTCGTGCCCACCTCGTGGCCATTCAATTGGTTCATTGACATTTCCCATCCACCTCCCCAATGGTACAGCAAAGCAAACAGCCTCTTGGTAATTTCTCCAGAATTTTCCCTGTTTGCTTTAGCATCCCTTATTCACACCATTTTACGTCATCTCTGATTTGCTTCACAGTTGAAGGAGGAAAGTGCCTCAAAATTTATATAAACAATGTACAAGTATTTTTTTTAAATGTAATTTTCTTTTCTCCCACTGTTTTCCCAACAATTTCCTGGCAATTAATCTTGAACTCCTCAAGATTCCCAACCAAACCTAGAAAGCTGGCAATCCTAATTAGAAAGGAATATTCTGGCAGTACGGTAACCATGAACTGTGGGACAGTGGTGGTGTCCTCACCTCTGACCCAGAAAGCCTGGGTTCAAATCTCACCTGCTCCAGAGGTGTGTCACAATATGCCAATACAACTTGGTTAAAATGATGCTCTAGGTGCCCTTTTGGCACAATGGTAGTGTCCCTGCCTCTGAGCTAGGAGGCCCAGGTTCAAGTCCTTCTGGCTCCAGACGTCTCTGATTAAGTTGATTAAAAATATCCAAAACCAAATACTTACCTCAGAGCCAAAGAGGACCTAGTGAGCAAAAAAAAAAGACATCTTTACCTCCAACCTCAATTTCTTTCCTGTTTTGTCCTATCTGAAGGAACTGGTTGTCATAGATTCCCTACAGGCCATTCAGCCCATTGGGTCTGCGGCAGTCCTCTTTAGGGCATCCCACCCAATATCTGTAGCCCCACATTTCTCATAGTTAATCCACCTAGCTAATGTATCCCTGGACATTACGGGCAATCTAGCATAGCTTTGGACTGTGGGAGGAAACCAGAGCAAAGCCTACACAGTCACCTGAGGGTGGAATCAGACCTGGGTCCCTGTCACTATGAGGCAGCAGAGCTAACCACTGAGCCATCATGCTGCTCATATCCTTGGATTGAAGGAAGCAGTATGTCATTTATTCTACACTCCTCTGGAACTTTCCTTCATTTTTGGAGTCCTGACAGATACTGACATAACCTACTGGGTATGCTGAAAGCCCAGCTCCAATTCAATCCTCTTCTAGTTGTTAGAGGCTGAATGCAATCTTGACTCTTAAACACTTTCTAATAGGGTTTAACAAACCCCTCAAGGTATGAACACTCCTCAAAAACCTCTGGGGAACTAACAGTAGAAAATAAATGCCAACCATGACAGTGATACTCATGTCTCAGCAGACTGAAAATAACAGAAAGAAATTTGGGAAAGTTTTGTATACTTACTAATCATTATTAGTCATTGATTGCCAGAAACATGCTTGCATTTGTATAGCATCTTCCATTTCCTCATTTCTCCCCAAAGCATTTCACAACCACTTAATTATTTTCACATTGTCGTAAATTAGGTGGAGCAGCCAATTTGAGCAAAGCCAAGAAACAGCAATGAGATAAGGACTAGATAATCTGTGCTTAACAATGATAAACAACAACAAAACTGAAAGTGCTAGACAAACTCAGCAGGTCTGGCAGCGTCTGTGGAGAGAGATGCAGGGCCAACACCTTGAGTCTGATACCACTCCTGCTCAGAACACCAGGTGTCAATAATGTTCTTTGAGGGTCAAATATTGGCCAGGAGATCAGGGAACTCTCAACAGTCTTCAAAATTATATTGTGGGGATGATATCTGTCCATCTGAGAGAGTAGATGGGGCTTTGGCTTAATGTCCCATCAGAGAATGTAGAGGATCCAGGTAGTTTAGAGACAATGCTACTGGATCATTGATCCAGAGGCTTGGACTAATAATCAACTGGATTGTTTAGAAATAGGGTTAAATGAAAATACAGATGAGCCTCTGAGGTAGGCTGTTATGTAACTGTGACTTCAGTAGTCATGTGCGAGTACTATGCTAGAAGGTCAGAACCTGTATATCCCAGAACACGATGCTCTGTAGCTTTCCCGTCATTGTCAACAAATGATATTTAAAAGTTACCTAGAGGACTGGCCTGAGCTGGTACAAAGACCCAAAAAAATCCACTTAACAGCAAGTCTGCGCTCAAACCTTAGCGTGGGAATTTGAAATTGGTGTGAGGATTCAGGGGTTGAAGAAAAACTGGCAACAGGAACTTCTGATTTTGTTGTTGGCCATGTACACTAAACCTGAAAGAACTGCGGATGCTGGTAAATCAGAAACAAAGGCAGAAGTTGCTGAAAAGCTCAGTAGGTCTGGCAGCATCTGTGGCGAGAAATCAAAGTTAACACTTCAAGTCTGGTGACACTTCCTCAGAACTGATGGTTGCTAGGAAAAGCCTAGCTACCACGATTTTGGAGGAATGGTAACCAGACCCAAAACGTTAACTCTGATTTTTCTTTACAGATGCTGCCAGACCTGCTGGGCTTTTCAGCAACTTCTGTTTTTGTTGTTGGCCATGTACATGTTGGATTGTTGGAATGACAAAGCCAGTGTTCTTTCTGGAAACAAATCTTACCTTTCCTCGCCTAGTCCATATGTTAAACAGCCATATTATAAAAAAGACATAGAGCTACAGAAAGGGTACAGGGAAGATTTATAAGGACGATACCAGAAATGGGTGGGTTTATGCGTCAGGAAAGGTTTGACAGGCAGAGGCTCTCTTTTCTTAGAGAAAAAGAGACTGAGGGGTGATCTAACACAGTCTTTAACATGACTGAAGGTTTTGATGGACTGGATGCAGACAGAATGGCCCTGCTTGTGGGCAGGAGCAAAGCGAAAAGCTGCCACTTTAAGAAACCCAACAGGGAAATCAGCAGAAACATATTCACCCAAAAACTGGTGAGAACGTGGAACTCCCCCCCCCCATATCTGAGGCAAATGCATTTAAAGGGAAATTAGATGAGTATATGAGAGAGAAGGAACAGATGGTAGACTTAGATGAAGAAAGATGGGAAGGGGCTCAATCGATGAAGAAGTACCAGTATGGACTAATTGAGCCAAATGCCCTGTTCTTGTGCCGTGTATCCTATGTAATTGCATGTAATGCCACCATTGTTGATTTTTACTTGTCCTCTGAAGTGGCCAAACAAGGCACTGCTCCGAAGAATTCAGGGCAACTAGGGATGAACAATAAAGGCCAGCCTTGCCAGCGATGGCCATGTCCTGAGAATGAAGTAATAAAAGAGAGAGAATGAGAGAGACCAGAGGAGAATCAGCATGCAGTCTGCTGTGGCTCAGTGAATAATACACTCACTTCTGAGTACGACAGCTCTGGGTTTACTCCTGGGCCTGACCATAAAGGTCGCTGACTTTTGCTCAGTGTTGAGTGAAGTGTCACCTTTCAGACAGATATTAAACTGAGGCTCTGCCTCTCCTCTCAGGTGGATACAGGAAGAGCCCATGGAACTGTTTTGAAGAACAGCTGGAGTGCATAGGCCTGACCAATATTTATCCCTTGGTCAGCGTCATTCAAAAACAGATGCTTTTGATCACTCAGAGAAAGTAGGAACTGCCAATGCAGGAGTCTGAGATAACAAGGTGTAGAGCTGGATGAACACAGCAGGCCAGGCAACATCAGAGGAGCAGGAAAGCTGACATTTCGGGTCTGGGCCCTTCTTCTGCCTGGCCTGGTGTGTTCATCCAGCTCTGTACCTTGTTATCTTCTTTTGATCACGTTGCTGTTGGAGGGAGCTTGCTATGCGCCAAATGGCTCCCAGTCCCTCCCACTGACTGTCTCTGTTATAACAGTGACGACCACTTCAAATGTGTTTCATTGATTGTAAATCACTTTGAGATGTCCAGTGGTTATGAAAGGGGCTATATAAATGCGATTTTTATTTCATCTGTAACAGGGAACGAGTGACAGCATCAAAAAAGGCATGAGATTCTCAATGGGGGTAGAAATGTTACTCGTCTTTTTATCTCCATGTAGTTAGAAAGTGACTTCCCAATAATGTCAATTGCCAGTGATCTCAGAATGCCAGAGCAGATATTCGACCCATATCAGTGCGATATTTCTTACACTTGGCAATGGAGTTTCCCACAGAGTGAGGTTTGGGTCTGCGACTGAACTCAGCCCATCTTACTCATCCAGCGAGGGAATTTTTTTTTATTTTGTGTGTTCCTGGGATGTGGGTGTTGCTAGCTGAGCCAGCATTAAATGCCAATCCCTAAGTGCCCAGAGGGCAGTTAAGAGTCAACCACATTGCTGTGGGTCTGAAGTCACATGTAAGCCAGACCAGGTAAGGATGGCAGTTTCCTTCCCTAAAGGACATTAGTGAACCAGATGGGCTTTTCCGACAATCGGCAATGGGTTCACGGTCATCATTAAACTCTTAACTCCAAATATTTATTGAATTCAAATTTCACAATTTGCCATGTCCCCACAACATTATCTGGGTCTCTGGATTAATAGTTTGACCAAGCCATTGCCTCCCTTTACAATCCTTTGTCCAAATAATAAATCAAACTCAAACTCAAGCGCCTTAACAGTTTCTTAAATTTTTCCAGGGTTTTTTGGCCTGTTCGACTTATGCAGAGAGTTTTCCAATTAGTCATCATCATTTCTGTGAAGAATTGCTTCGTTCCTCAACTTGTCCTCAAACACAATTGAGTTCAGTCAGTGTTTGAGCCATTTAATCTTCCCGAGTTCTCTTTGTGTCCTTCACTGGAGCTGCATCTTCAGTGGCCTAGATTCTGAGCTTGGGTCAAGTTCAGCTTCATAGGTATCAGTTGGTCATTCTTCTCCAGACATCAGGTGTTCCATCACTGTCCAGGAAATGCTTTGGCCCGTCAGTCTCTGGGATCAGTGGAGAACGGACGAGTTTGAGCCTCTTGTATTTTATCAGACAGCAATCCATCGTTCCTCATAATTTGGGCCCATTCTGAGGGAAACTGCAACCCACAACCTCTGCCACCACCTGCAAGTTTCCCTCCAAGCCACTCACCATCCTGACTTGGAAATGTATCGCCGTTCCGTCACTGTCACTGGGTCAAAATTCCTGGAAATCCCTCCCTATTGGCATTGTGGGTCTACCTAAAGCACATGGACTGCAGCGGCTCACCCCCACCTTCTTGAGGGTAACTAGGGATGGGCATATATTCTAGCCCAGTCACCAGCACCTACATCCGACAGCTCTGCCAATTTCCACATGGTGTTATTCTTTAAATTCATGAAGTAACGTGTGCCTGCAAGTCTCTCAGAAACATATAAGTCAAGCTTGTGACCAACAGTTTAAGTACCTTAGCCCATCAGTCAATCATACCAGCTGCCCACCTTGTGACAATCCAGTCAATAAGAAATAAACTGAACGTTGCCCTAAGGAAACTATTGGATATAAAGTCGCCACACACTCTCCACAGTGTGGACAGGTGCCACGTCAAACTGGATCTGAACAACCGGGGATGAAATCACAGCAGAGAGGATGTGAAGAGATAACAACAGGCCATCTGAATAAACAAACCTCTGCATCAGTGAAGTTCATCCCCTGAAATCACCTGTGAATATCAGAAAGTGATAATGACAGAGTAGATCTGAAAAAAAAACTGCTGGATTTGAAACCACATTGGAGAAATCTGCAACATTTATTCTTTAACCAACATTATCAAAACAAAATTATCCTGACATTTCTTAATTGCTATTTGGGAGATTACTGTGTACAAATTGGTTGCTGTGATTCTCAGACTAGGACTGTGACCATGCTTTAAAAGAACCTAACTGGCTGTAAAGAGCAGTGAAATGTCCTGCAGTCACAAACAGTGATATAGAAATGAAATCTATCAGCTCTACACCGGCAATGAATCATTCAAAGACTAGCCTTTCTCACGTTGTATCACAGAAAGAACATCACAGCTGGAAATTGTCCCCAGGCTGGGAAAATCTCTCCTATATTTAAATGCTTGACCAGGTCCTGGAATGTGACTGTCACAGCTATTCAGAGATAGTCTGAAATGTTTCCTCACTCTCTTTCAGTTTGTGTGACTGGTTTGGATTGTGTTACATGTCTGACTGGATCAGAGACACCAGCCAGCACAGAGTTACCTTAATCTGTTTGATAATGTTCTGACCACAAGATTTACCGTCATATTCTGCCTCAATGCCAGCTCTTACTGAGAGAGAGAGAGACAGAGAGAGGAAACAATCTGAACATACAATCCCTTTCAGAGTGTGTGAACAGGTTTGCAACTGAGTTTGAGCCAGTTTAGGTATAAGAGTGTCTGAATCTCTGAATACCCCGCGAGAGCAGCTTAGTGTTGTGAACAAGTCCAAGTCTTGCCCTGGGAAGAGTTGAAATTGGTAGAGGACGGGGAGAGTAAAGGAGGTTACTCCTGGCCTGACTGGACAGGACCATGTGAATGCAGCATGGGACCCCCACTGGCTTTGAAATGAACCCCATGTGTGTGTGTAAGTGGACAATGCGTATATGTGTGGGAAAGCATGTGTGAGAGAGTGAGGGTCTGCTAGACAGTGTTTGTGTTAGAGACAGAGACTGAGGGAGGGTGAGGGAGAATGAGAGAGAGAGACAGAGAGTGAGGGAAAGTGAGAGTGAAAGAGATAGAATGAGAGACAGAGAAGTAGGATGAGAGAGAATGATAAACATTTAGTGAGGAAGAGTGCGAGACTGAGGGAGAGTGAGAGAGAGAATGAGAAACAGAGAGTCAGGCTGAGATAGAGAATGAGAGACAGAGTGTCAGAGAGAGTGAGAGAGAGAAAATGAGAGACAGAGAGTGAGGGAAAGCAAAAGAGAGAGAGAATAAGACAGAGTGCACTTGTGAGAGAGAGTGTTGACAGAGTCAGAAAGATGAGTGAGTGTGAGAGAGTGAAAGCCTGAGAGAGTGAGAATATCTGAGAGTGTCTGAGTAAAGGAGAGTACATGAGAGAGAATGAGAGACTGAGAGAGAGTGAGAATGAATGCTTGAGAGTGGATGTGAGAGGAGTGTTTGAGAGAGTGAGGGTAAGAGTGTAAGATAGACTATGAGAGAGAGACTGAGAGAAAGTTAGAGAGTCTGGAAGAGAGTTTGAGAGTATAAGAATGTGAAAGGGAGAGTTGAGAGAAAGAATGTGTGTTATAGGGTGTGGTTATTTGAGTAAATGTGCTCATGTGGGTGCATTGTGTACTCGAGTGCAGGTGTACAATGTGGGACTCTGAAGTATTGACTTATGATATATTTTAAATCATTAAATATTTATTCTTTGCCCGAACAACATTCATTCAAAAGCTCATTTTGTGAAAGGAGTTTTCATTTTGCCTGTGCGGATTGTCTTTGTCCTTCCCATGTCTACTTAAACCTGGGTAAGTGTACTAGCTCTTGCTGCTTCGAGATTCAAGAACCAGCCTTTTATTTTCAGATTCTTGTTTGCAACAAGTTGGTCACGATGGGCTTGGGCCCAGTGAGTAAGCCACTGTGATTGGGTTATTTTAGCACCGTCTAGTTGGGGTCGGTTAGCTCAGTTGGCTGGTCAACTGGGCTGCTGAGTGATGCCAACATCTTGGGTTCAATTGGCACACTGACTATGGCTGCCATTAAGAATCTACATTCTTAATCTCTCCCCTCGCCTGAGGCATGGTGACCCTCAGGTTAAACCACCATCAGCTGCCTCTCTAATGAGAGAGTGAGACTATGTGACTTTACTGCCTGACCACTGCATTTACCTTCTGCCTTTGGTGAGTGCGATACTTCAGAAAATTAAATTAGGAATGAAAAAAGCAGTTTGTTTTTCAGGTCACACCTTGAAATTACATGGAGGATTTTTTAAACTCAGCGTTTTTGTTTTCTCCTTTAGTTGATTTTAAGTAGAGGATCAGTCAATAAGTGATTGAATCCTGATAAACATACTTACCCTGGATATCAGTAGGCAGTTGGAGAGTAGGAACTTCTTCTGCTAAAAGAAAAGAATTATCTTTGGGAAAACACATACCAGTTCAATATGGTCACTGAATTCAGATTAAAGAGTTTTTTTTACGGATAGACCCTTTAAAAGAAAATGCCTCTTTAAAATCTAATAACTCAGTGTCAGACAATCTCACGCTCACTCTCTTTCATTCCCCTTTGTCTCATGCACTTCTTCACTATCTCTTCCTTTCTTTCTCTCTCTTTCAATCTCTGTCTTGTTCTCACTCTATTTCACACAAACTCTGTTTCTCTCTCTAACACACATACACTGTTTCACTCTCTCTCCCCTTCATTATCTCTGTCTCAATTTTTCCCTCTCGTTCCCTGTCTCACATATACATTCCCTCTTTCTTTTTCTCTCACACATATACACTCTTTTGATCTCTCTCCCTTTCATTCTCTCTTTCTCTCAATCTCTCTATCCCTACATTCTCTGTCAAACATGCACTCTGTCTCTTTCTCTCTCACATACATGTACACTCTTTCTCTCTCTAATTTTCCAATCTCTCTCCTTCTCATTCTCTCACCCACAGACTCTTCTCACCTTTTCATTTTTTGTTCTCTCTCTCCTCTCAATTTTTCTGTCCTTCTTATTCTCTGTCATATACACAAACAAACACACACACTAATCCCCTCTCTCCTTCCCATTCTCTCTCTCCTCTCCCACTCTCAGACAGACTCTCACTTGGGCAGTCTGGAAGTGTTACCTGGTTGGGGAATACTTGGTGAGTTCTCTGTCTCTCTCTTTGCAAACACACAGTACACAGATACAGCAACAATTCAATAAAAACTCTTGAATAATATACAGAAGTTGACACAAGTGGGCCACACACGTGAGGATTGATAGGTGAAAATGAGGTGGGGATTACATAAAACATGACATGGACTGATAGAATTACTTTTTTTCTAATGTAGAGGTTACATGAGGCACCACTGCTTCTGGACTTTGGCTCACACCATGAATCTACCAATCAAAATCAAGTCAAGTCCATTGATTTACCAATCAAGATCGTCAATGCCATGGATTTACCAATCAAAATCAAGTCCAGTCACAAATATTGTCATCCAATATTCTCCCCAAGGTCTGTTTTATATCTCCCACACTATAACTGTGCCTAATTCAAGTCCAGACTCAAGTCCTAATAATCAACATCAGAATGGACTAGATGGACCAAAGGGACCTGTTTCTACACTGTTAATTCTATTTGATAATTTAAGCATTGAAGGGGACTTGCACCTTCCCATTTACAATTGACACTATATTGTGGGATGTGTTACCTAATTTTGTTCTTCTGTGTTTTGACATCATTCCTTGTGACCGATGTGTGGAGAAACTTAATCCCCTCCTAACCTTTCGTCACTATGCACAAGATGTTTATACCTATTCACTGTGAGACTATTATAGTACCTTGTCAGTCAATGTGAAGGTCCATTTGTACACTAGAGACAGATTTATCACTAGAACATTCGATGTGTGAAGCCCATAACCAATGGAGTCCCATGCGGAGGCTGGTTTACTTTATCGCAAATCAAGTTGTGGAAGAAAATTCTTCAGTGTTCTTCCAATCCTGCCTGTGTCAGTGTCTAGGCTTCATCTAGACTGGCAGCCTTTATCAACAACTCCAGTACTCCCCATGACACTCTGCTGGTCCCTCGGGTTCAAATCTCCCTCAGAAGACCTCCTCATCAAAAATTCACTCTCCTCAGTGCAGCATCCAGCTACAGATCTTCAACCTTCCATCTCTGCTTGCATGTTGTCCTCAGAGAGAGCTGTCCACTTTAGTGAGCTCCTGACTCTACAACTTACAGTCTTTTGCCTTTCTCTTGATGGTTGTTAACTGTGTTGATGAAGCTTTGTCAAAGGAAGGCATATGATTCACTGGGTTCAACATATTTCAGCTTTTGTACAAATTATTTCTACTTAGTGGTCATTCTAGTTCACTTTTTGTGGAGGACAAATCTGAGAATCTGACAGAGGACACTGACCAGATAATTTGTGTTTCAGAACCAGGTGTAAACTTAATCCTTTGGATGAAATGGATGAAACAAGCAACTACTACTAATCTGATAGCAATAAACTGTACATAAGATAGTGAACAAGTTTGATTCAATAGTGAAAATAAGTAACTAATATCATCTCTATGTGGCATGAGTTAATTACACTGTAGTTATTGGTTAATGCATGACACACCCACACATACAGACATGGATCAAGCTGTGGTCTAACCTCCCATCATTGATGATGTTGCTTTTGTTGGTTCAGCTTCATCTTTCTCAGCAACAAGTCCATGTTCTGAAGACATGGAGAAGCCTTGGAAAGTTAACATGACACACCATACACAGGGACACAGAATACAGTATCCACATCCACAGACATATACATATCCACAGACATGCACATAGTCACAGACGTATACATATTCACAGACATGATAATGCACATAGATCATATTGATCAACATGCAACAATGAGCACTCTCAATCTACAAAAACAAAACACACTCAAGGCTAGTGTTTCTTGGAGACACATTTAAACTGTCAATCAATTCCAAAACTCCGCATTGCCAGACAGGGATTAACACACAAGCCACTTCCCAGCTAAACACAGGTTGCAGTGAATCACAGAATTAGAGAATTGTTACAGTGCTGAAGGAGGCCATTCAACCCATTGTCCCCACACTAGCTCTCTGAATGAGCATTATGATTTAGCGCTATTCTCTTGCCTTTTCCCCATAAACCTGAACATTGTTTTGGTTCAAATAATCATCTAACACCCTCACGGATGCCTCGATGGAACCTGCCCCAGGGACTGAAGAGGGAACTGGAATGAACAGGGCTGAATGATGGCTGTACTTACTTATACTCCAATCACAAGGTCACATTCATGGCCAGGACAAACAGCTGATTCTCAACACTTATCGAGGCCCATCAGCAATAGGTCATTTGGCACGGCAACAGCCAAAGATTAGTTGTATGCCCCTCAGGGGAATCAGTTTCCTGAAGGAATGTTTCACAATTTCTGTAGTTAACATGGTTGCCTTAAGGTCATCAAATGTCTTAATCCAAATTGGATGTCTCCATGACTGAGGGGCTGTGTAAAAGAGTTCGATTCAACCCGAGGTACACCACATTCTTCACTCTAAGTTTGGAGCAGATGTGAAATGGTTTCTGCTTCACATCAGCATTAACTGCTTGAGTCAGCAGAATCTCACTCAATTTTGTTTGGTTACAGATCAGGCTGCCATTCTGAGTTTAATCCACTAGGACTGGGGAGTCAATAGATGGGAACTGACATTTCTTTATAACGGGGTTTGATTGTAACCACAACCTATCCAGGTCGATTACAGAAAAACTGTCCGGTCTCCATGCAATTCAGGGTGATCCACTCCAGCAGAACCTGCTGGAAATAGAACCATTTCCAAGTCTCGAATCACAATTCGAATGAGATGTTGAAATCTACTAAACAAACTCAGCTAACCCTAGAGCATCAAGGCTAAAAAAAACCCCTCAATTCCAATTAAGCTCCTTCTGGATAAAGATGCTCCATCTAATATTGCCCCGCAGAAATTGCCTCTCACGCCATCATTTCAAGTATGCTTTCTGGCTACCAGGGCTCAATTTAAGCTCTTGGGTATAAACCAATAGATTTCGTTAAAATTGAGCTTCTGGATTCTGACTTGCAACATGAAATCAAAACAACAACACATCGAGGCTACAAACCTTAAATTAACCTGCAAGAAAAATAAGTAAGGTATATAGTTAGACACAGTATAAGGTGCGTTCAGTGCAGCTACTGCCCCTTCCATTTGGTTGTGTGTACAAGGGTTGACTTCCACTGTATCAAGGTGAGCTGTTTGCTGTGAGGTTCAAAGACACATTAGAAGGACAAACAAAGGAGTGACAGAAAAATACCGACATTATTTGCTGTGGAGAGTGACACCAGTTAGTTTAAACCAATCTGAAAGGAATGATCCACAGGCAATCCAGTCTCGTGCAAGTGTGATCTACTGAACATTACTAGGCTCAGCACACATGTACCACCAGGAGAACATTGCACTAACCTGCACCATTTGCTGAGCCATCCTCTTTTTGTTCTGAAAACAAATTAGGTCATTATTTTATCATTAGATATAATCCATATGTATATATTCACATTAAATACACATTTATAAAACGAATACAACCTACAATCAAACCTCCAATTATATAGGAACATAGTAGAGCAGGAAACATCATTTTGGTCCAACTCATCTCAGAACACATAGATCCCCCTCACTGATGTCGCCAAATTGATTTCCTCACGAAATTCTTGCCTGACCTCTTCCTGAACCCCCTCGATGCTGTCAGCCTGATCACCCTCCTGGGAAGAACATTCTTGGAGCAGCCTGCTACATTTGTCCCAAGGTGTTGTCCCTGGTTCACTGCACAGCTATCTCCCAGCTTCAAACCAGGAGTTTATGGGTTTAGCCCACCTCTAGAGTTCAGAGCACACTGGCTGGCACTCCAGCGCCAATCCGAGGGAGTGCTGCTCTGTCTGCACTGCTACCTTTCAAACATATGGGGCCAGATCCAAAATCTTAATTGATTGTAAAAGATCCCACGGCACAGTGCTGCAGCAGAGTACACCCTGATGTCATGGCCAAAAGCCCTTTTCCATCAAAATCTGATCTGATATTTTGATTGCTGTGACTAAAGATCATAAAGACCATTCAACATAGGAGCAGCATTAGGCTTTTCAGTCCATCAAATCCAATTCACCATCCAGTAAGATCAATAATCCTCAATCCGTTTTCCAACCTTTTCCCAATAACCCTTGATTTTCTTACCGATTAAAAGTTTGTCTATCTCCGTAATACCACAAGAAATAGGAACAGCAGTGGGCCATTTGGCCTCTCAAGCTTCCTCTGCTATTCAGTAGAATCATGGCTGATCCAACATTTCTCACATCCACTTTCCTGCCCTTTCCTGTAATCCTTGATTTCCCAACCAACCCAGAATTTATTACAGACCTTAAATATACACAAGGACTCTGCCCCCACAGCTCTCTGTGGCAAGCAGTTCCAGAGACTCACAACACTCAGAGAGAAGAAATTCTTCCTCATCTCAGTCTGAAATTGGTGCCCCTTTATTCTGAGGCTGTGCCCTCTGGTCCTAGACTCTCCCATGAAGGGAAACATCCTCTCAGCATTTAACCTGTCAACCTCTTAAGAATCCTACATGTTTCAATGAGATCCCCTCTCATTCTTCTAAACTCCAGTGAGTAGAGTCCCAACGTTTGAGCCTTTGCTCATATGACAATCCCTCCATTCCAGGGATCATCCAAGTGAACCTTCTCTGAACTGCCTCCAATGAAATAATATCTCTCCAAAATTAGAAGGACCACCAACCTTGAATATAGTATATATGTAAGCTGGGTGCCTCATCTCCTTCAGTACAACATCAGAAGTCACACAACACCAGGTTATAGTCCAAGAGGTTTATTTGAAATCACAAGCTTTCAGAGCGTTGCTACTTGGTCACCTGACAAAGGAGCAGGGCTCCGAAAGCTTGTGATTTTGAATAAACCTTTTGGACTATAACCTGGTGTTATGTGACTTCTGACCTTGTCCACCCCAGTCCAACACCGGCACCTCCACATCCTGCATTAATCAAGAATATGTTATTGTTTGTAAACTGTTTCTGGATATTCAGACATATGAAGAGTGTGATATCGATGCAAGTTTAATTCTGCTAAAGTGTTAGTACAAAAGTCCTCTTCGTATGTTAATAATCTAGTAAATAATTTATCAAACAAGTCATTTTTTTTTGAATTGTGATTATTTTCATTCAGTAAACAAGATTGTTTCAAATTAACAAAAGAACTCAACATACTGTCAAATTTGAAACAAGAAACAGAAACCACTGAGGATAATGAAGCAGCTCAGGGAAACTCGGAGTGGGTTCTGGAGGTCAAAGAGCCCCAGGTGACAGCTCCAGAGAGAATCTCAGGTTAACATTTGTGGCAGAACCTGCAAAACTAAAAAGAGAGCTTGTATTTTCATAAAACTGGAGTGTAAGAGTCATCGCCATAGACTCATGGAGGTTTACTGCACAGAAAACGGCCCTTCAGCCCATCCAGACCATGCCAGGCAGAAACAACCACCTAACTATTTTCCATTTAACCCATATTCCAGCATTTGGGGCATAGCCTTGTATACTTTGGTATCGTCAGTGTACATCTAAATACTATTTAAATGTAATGAGGGTCTCTGAGAGTTAGCAAACAAGCAATACAACACATAATCCAAAAACAGGGACAGGTTCTTTGATAAAAACAGAAGTTGCTGCAAAAGGTCTGGCAGCATCTTTGGGGAGAAATCAGAACAGGTCCATTGGTTGAATGACCTGCCAACAGTTCAACAGAGTTACAACCAAATGGACTTAGCTGTCCCTGTCCCCAAACCACAGCTTGCTAACACTGTGGGAGGTGGATAGTATGGTAGTCTTTATTATAACAGAGCTGGAATACAAGAATAAAGAAACCTCACTGTAATTGTTTGGCGAGTGAGCACACTGGGAGAACATTGTAGAATTCTGGGCTCCTGTCTAAAGACATACTGAACTTCACGGGGAAGGCAACCAAGACAGATTCCTGCTTGAGATAATTTTCCAGTGGGAAGTGATTGACCTCCATTCTCCAGCGTTTAGGGGTGATCGCATCGCAACATATCAAATTCTGAGAGGACTTGGTTAATTGCTGAGAGTTTGCTAGCTCTTGTTGAATGGTGGGAGGGGGCGAAATTGAAGTGATAGTCTCAAGATAAAGGACAGGCTGGTTAAGACTGAGATAGGGAGTGAGTTCTTCATGCAGAGGGTGGTGTATCTTTGGACCTATCTGCCTCAGATGGTTGTGGAGGCTCTGTCGTTGTCAAGACAGAGATTAATAGACTTTTGGACTCTTCCAGACTCAAGGGATATGGGCAATAAGGTGAGAAAGTGGACTTTGAGTAGAAGGTCAACTGTGATGATCGAGGGAGCCACGTGGCCTACTTCAGTTCTCATTTCTTAAGATGAACAACGTAGTTCCAATTGAGCATAAATAAAATACGATCCAGTGATGATTGTAAAGGCTTGATGGATTGAATGTAATACCTTCTGTATTACATTCTATAATAGAACATAGAATATTGAACAGTACAGCATAGTACAGGCCCTTCGGCCCACAATGTTGTGCCGAACTTTTACCCTAATCCTAAGGTCTATCTAACCTCCACCTCTACCTTATACTATCATCCATATGCCTATCCAATAGCCACTTAAATGCCCCTAATGAGGCTGACTCCACTACCCTCTCCGGCAATGCATTCCACGCCCCTACCACTCTGAGTAAAGAACCTACCTCTGACGTCTCCCCTATATCTACCTCCACTCACTTTAAAACTATGCCCCCTCGTAATAGCTACCTCCACTCCAGGAAAAAGTCTCTGGCTGTCCACTCTATCTATACCTCTGATCATTTTGTACACCTTAGCATAATTTAGCATTCTATAATCCTACTACCTATGGTGAGATGTCCTGGGTTGTGTAAAGCATCTTGAGTGTTGTTGGAGCTGCACCCATTCAGGCAAGTGGGGACTATTCCATCACACTCCTGACCTGTGCCTTGTACATGGTGGGCAGGCTTTGGGGAGTCAGGAGGTGAGCATAACTCTGTAAGTTTCAAAGTCATTATGGAAAGCCATAAGGATAGTGCAGAAGTTAAGTGTGTAAATTTGGGGAAGGCATCAGACAGGGTGTGGGAAATATAGACTGGGAGCAGCTACTTGCAGGTGAGTCTCCACTTGGAAAGTGAGAATCTTTTTAAAAGCAATAGAATGAGATTTGAGGGCCAGCATGTTCCTCTAAGTGTGAAGGGTAAGGGCAGCAAATCCAGGGAACCCTGGATGTCAGGGGATATCGAGAGTTTTGTAAAGAAAAAGAAGGATGTATATGTCAGGGACAGTGCATTAAAAACAGCGGAGGCTCTTCAAAAGTATAGAGAGTGTAGGGAATTGCTTCAAAAGGAAATTAGGGCAAAGAGGGGCCATGAAATATCTTTGGCAGATAGTAGGATCAAGGAAAATCCCAAGGCATTTTATAAGAATATGAAGAGTAAGAGGATTACCAGGGAAAGAGTGAGGCCTATTAGAGACCAAAGGGGTGACCTGTGTATGGAGCCAAAAGATGTGGGTGAGGTATTAAATTAATATTTCTCATTCATATTCATGGAGGAGAAAGACATTGTAGCCGGGGATTTCAGCTGGGATGGTGGGGTTCTAGAACACACTAAAATTAATAACGAGGAGGTATTAGATATTTTAATGAACAGACAGGTGCATGAATCCCCAGAGCCGGATGAGATGTATCCCAGGCTGCTACGGCAGGTGTGGGAGGAGATTGCTGGGACGCTGGCGGAGATATTTAATACTTTGCTGGTCACAGGTGAAGTGCCAGGTGACTGGAGGACAGCTAATGTGGTTCCTTTGTTCAAGAAAGGAGTCAGGGTTAGGCCGGGTAATTACAAAGCAGTTAGTCTGACATCAG